CTCTCCATCTTCGTGAGGCTGCGGGGAGCCGAGGGGGAGCGGCCCCGGGAGCCGGCGGCAGCCGAAGCGGCCCGGGAGAGCGGCCCCGGGGACCAAGCGGCGGCGGGAGCGGGGCCGGAGGCCGCGAGGGGACGGCTGCCGGTGGAGGAGGTCGGGGCGGTCGAGGAGAAGAAGGAAGGGGCTGCCGAGCAGCGGGAGAAGGCGGCGGAGGAGCCGAGCCCCGCGGCCGAGCCGAGCCCCGCGGCGGCCGAGCCGAGCCCCCCGGCGGCCGAGCCGAGCCCCGCGGCGGCCGAGCCGAGCCCCGCGGCGGCCGAGAGCATTCCCCGGAAGCCGCCTGCCGAGCCCCAGGAGGATGCAGGAGACCACGCAGCATTTCCCAGCAAGGCGGAGGAGGAAGAGCTGGACTCAGGAAAAGAGAAGCTGGTGGTGGGAGAGCCGGCAAGCACAGCAGCTACACCATCCCCAGTGACAAGTACAGCAGCATCGTTTGAGAGTTCTGAAGGTTTTGAATGGCCTTTGGGTGTCCTTGGGACCTGCCTGCTGATTGTGATGGGGATCAGCATGTTGGCACACACACAGACTGTGTTTTACCCACAACCATTTTGTCTGATCTCAAAAGTTAAGCAGAGTCAGGTTTGGGCCTTGTCTGGGGTTAGACAACGATATAGGGTGACCAAGAGATTTTCCCCAAAGCTGGACAGTCATGAGTGGGAGGGTGTGTGGGACAGTATGGGCAAGTATCTAGTCCACTGGGCCCCTCCAGTGCTTTGGAAGCATTGGAGATGGAAGGCAGCTGTATGGAGTCCCCAGCAACAAGTTGCAGAAACTGCTGAAGGGGACAGTGAATTATTTTAAGCCTGGTGGGCCCATGGCACTTCAGGCCATCAGAGCAGAGATGCAACATAGAGATGGACTCATGATCGAGGGGTGGACTTAGCAATGGACACTATTGCCCAGGTTATTCACGAGTGTGAACACTGCACACAGTCTCTCCTGCTCTGGAAGACTGTTACAAGAGATGGAGCCTGACATCATGGACCAGATGGACACAGCAGCTTTATAGGGACTGGTCCATGCACTAAGTTAAGAGTGCACCGAGATAAGAGTGATGGTATATTGAAAATGTGGGATCTGAGCATGACGTGAATGGTATGGAATAAGGGGTGGATAATGTCCTGGGTTCAGCAGTAGCAGTCATTTTTCCCCTTCTTGGTAGCTGGTGCAGTGCAGTGTTTTGACTTTCAGCTCGGGAACAGAGCTGATAACAAGCGATGTTTTGGTTTGGCCAAGGACTTTGTGAGCCTCATGCTCTGCCAGGGAGGAGGGGGAGCCAGGAGGAAGCAGAGACAGGACACCTGACCCAAACTGACCAAAGAGGTATTCCATACCACAGCACGTCATGCCCAGGATGAACTGGGAGTTAGCCGGAAGGGCTGAGAGACTGCAGGGTTGGAGGAGGTATCGGTCAGAGCTTGGTCGGACTGGGGGGGGCGAGTTATCGGTCGGCTGGTGGTGAGATGATGTATTCTCTTCCCTTGTTATTTCCTTTATCATTATTATCACTGGTGGTAGCAGTAGTGATTTGTGTTGTACCTTAGTTACTAAACTGTTCTTATCTCAACCCGTGGGAGTTGCATTCTTTTCGATTCTCCTCTCCGTCCCTCCGGGAGCAGGGGGAGGGCAAGAAAGGGGGGGGAAGTGAGCGAACGAATTACCTGACTGAGTTTAAACCACGACACATGGATATCTGGGAAAACTTCTCACTAAGGACAAACACTTCTCCTCCGTATCTTGTCTAGTTTGTGAGTTTTTCTTCTTCCACCTTCCCCAACCTTTTAATTAACTTAGTTTTATGCTACTTTGGCTATGGCTCAGGTCAAATAATACTCAAGCACATCATCTTTGGCTGCTGTGGACATTATGGGCAGAAGAGAAGAATCTTGATACAATTTTCAGGCTGCACTAAACACCTTGATAGTTGCAAACCAGCTGATCAACTATTCATATGTTAATGTGGCATAAGGCAGTAACAGGGGAGTTCAGGTGGCAAGGTTGGTATTCCCAAATCCACAGCTGGTCGTCCAGCCTACCTTATCTATTTCAACAGACTGTTTGAAATTCAAAGTTGACATTTTAAATGTCACCACAGTCAACTGTTACACTGCTGCTTTTAAAAGAAATATCATAAAATCACAGACTGGTTTGGGTTGGATCTTTATGATCACCCAGTTCCAACCCCTGCTATGGGCTGGGACACAATATCCTACACCAATATGCTTAGTCCCTCCTCATAAGGTGCCTAAAATCTTCCAGATCATCCCATTTCTGCTGGAAAACCCCACCTCTTCCCAAGATGCCACAGAGCATCAATGCAACAATCATGGGCACAGCAAAACCAACAATGGATACCACCTAGAATGCATTTATCAAAGAATGCCAGACTGGTTTGGGCTGGAAGGGACCATAAAGCTCCTCCAGTTCCACCCCCCTGCCATAGGCAGGGACGCCTTTCACTAGACCAGGTTGCTCCAAGTCCCTTCCAACCTGGCCTTGAACACTGCCAAGGATGGGGCATTTAATTTGCTGGTTTATGAACAAACTGAAGAAAGGACCCAGGACTGATTCACTTCAGTTTTTTAGGCAGAGATGCAAAGACAAACAGCTGGATGCGCCCTGTTCTCCTCACAAGGGCTGCTGTGTCACTGTCACCATGCCAAGGGGTATGGGCCCTTTGACTGACCCATGCCTGAGCACAGAATCATAGAATCAACTAGACTGGAAAAGACCCTGAAGATTATCAAGCATCGTGAGGTCTCCCACAGGGTTCAGGCCATCAGGCCAGCAGATACCGAAGGCAGCAGCAAGCTGGTCTTGGCCGCCCCAGGGGTGCAGGAGCAGGACTATATGCCCACAAACCTCACCAGTTTCGGGCTCATCCACCTTTCTGTGGGTTTCACACGCGCTCTTAGTGCAGGCTGAGCTGACAGACAACAGCACCGCCGTGCCTCCCCCCGACACCCTCCTCCCAGCCTAGGGCACGCTGAGCCACCACCCCCCCCGGCCCTGGGCTGCCCCCGAGGCCTGCGGGACCGCGACCTGCCGCCGGGCCCAGCCCCGGGCCGCAGCAGCCGGTAAGGGCGGGACCGCAGGCCTCGGCTGGAGGGGAGCCCCAGGCCGGCAGAGCCCCACTCCCCGCACCGGCCGCGCGCCTACCACCCGCTCCGCCGAGCCCGCCGCTTCCGGGGCCGGGCTGTGCACTGCGGCGGGGCCGCCCGGCGCGGGGTCCGGGTTGTCGAGTTCCGCCCCGTGCCTCGGTCCCGGCCCTCCCTGCCGTTTCCGCCGCGTTTGCAGGCACCGCGGCGCGGCTCTGCCCCGGCTCACCCGGCAGCGCCGATCTCCGCAGCTCTCCCCACGGCTTCCCGCGGCGCCGAGAGCGGCGCGAGGCAGCGGCTGAGCCGGCCGATAAGGAGCGCCCGGCCCCCGGGCAGACGCGCCGTCACCCGGGCCTGGGCGCGGCATGGGCTCGCCTTCCCTCACAGAACCTGTTGTACCCCGTTCCCCAAGCCTGGGGACTTGCCATCCCTCATGGGACCCCATCGTCCCCCATCCCGAAAGGCTGGGGACTCGCCTTCCTTATGGGACCCCGTTGTCTCTGATCCCCAGAGGCTGGGGACTCGCCTTCTCTTGTGGAACCTCGTTGTCCTTCATTTCCAAAGGCCAGGGCCTCGCCTTTCTTCACAGGACCCCATTATCCCCCAGTCACCGAAGGCTGGGAACTCACCCATGGGTGCTGGTGCCCAGAAGGTTCCCTCCCGTCACCCTCAGTGAGAGGGGGTCTGGAGGGTGGCAGGAGATCAGGGGGATGCTGGGCAATTTCAGGGGGTCCTGCATTGAAGGGGGGAGGTGGTGTGGAGATGGGGGGTGCAGACCCTACGGGGCAGGCTAGAGAAAAGGTTTGGGTTTTTTTCTTGTTGGGTGCCACAGAACTGGAAATAAGGCAGGGGAGGATGGGTTTTCTGGGAGCTCATGTGAAGGGAGGGGATCTAGATCTCCAGCCTGGTTTGGGTTGAAAGGAACCTTAAAGCTCATTTAGTTCCAAGCCCCTGCCATGGGCAGGGACACCTTCCACTAGACCAGGATGCACCACGCCCCGTCCAACCTGGCCTTGAGCACTGCCAGGGATGGGGCAGCCACAGCTTCTCTGGGCACTCTGTGCCAGAGCCTCAGCACCTGGTGGTGCAGGCTTATCCCTCTTCTGCAAACAAGAGACACCCTCCCTGCTGCTGGGCTCGCTCTGCAGAGGGAAGGTATGGGAGGGCACTACAGGGTGTCCATTGTCCTTAGCACCAGACAATGTGTTCTTTTGTTCCAGGGACAGGCAGGAGAAGGCATCCTTCATGGGATTCATGATGGTGACTGGACCCTGGTCTCAGACACAGGTAAAGGCCGTGGTGTTGTGCAGCACCATGTGCATGTCAAGGGCTGGAGAAGGGATGAGGAAAATGCCCTTCCCTCCATCACCACACCCTGCCAGAGTGCCCGTGGCCCCTGCTGATAAAGGCTCCCTGAGCCCTCCTCCAGGGTCAGAACAGGACCGCAGGGCAGGCTCAGCCCGAGGACCTGGATTGGTGTGAGCAACCCTTCATGCTCAAATCCCATTTACTCCATGTAGTAGTGGTTGCTTCCCTGTAGAGGTCAGGAATGCAACACAGAATGAGTTACCTTCATCTTACCCTTCTCCCGAAGTCTGCTGAAAACCTGGTGTGCCTGATAGGCCATGAGGTGCCAACTCCAGCCTGACCTTACCACTCAACTCATACTCTGGCATCAGGAAGGTGGAATCATGGCCATATAAAACCAGTGTGCAGGGAAGAGAAACAGTTATATTAGCTTTGCAAATCCACACAAGGGCATGGTGCTAACAAGTTTGCCAAGGCACCAACTCTTGGCCAATTATGAGTCCTGCTCAAGTCCTCCTCGAGGTATGCTGGTGGGTCCAAGAAACTCAGCCGGTCTAGTCCTTGCTTCTGCCATCTGGAGAAGCTGGAGGGCGATAAGGCAGTCAAGTAGATGCACTATCCCTGGAGACATTGAAGGCCAGGCTGGATGTGACTCTGGGCAACCAGGTCTGGTTGAGATGTCCTTACTTATTGCAGGGGGTTGGATTAGATGAGCTTTGAAGGTCCCTTCCAACCCAAACCATTCTATGATTCTGTAAGAACGGGGATAATGCCCAGCTGTGGGAGCAGTGGACCCGCTCACTCACTGCCCAACAGCAGATCTAAAGCTCAGCACCTGAGTGTTAGGATGGGGTCACCACATGCTGCCCCAGGGTTGGTGGGCCTGTACAGGGGCCTCACGCAGTACTTAAAGACTTTGACACAGTTCTCCCCTGCGTCTGCCACGAGGAGGTGACCAGAGGAAGAGCAAGCAACACCAGCTGGCCTCCGCAGCCTTGTGGACACCAGGCAGACAGGAGCTCCGTGTTCTGGGAACAAGTGGACTGTCCGGAGCTGCTCATCTGCCACTAGGATGCTGCCAGCCACATCAATGCAAACCCCGGCTGGGTTACCAAACCGGTGTCCGTATTTGCTGCTGAGGGAGAAGAGGAGCTTGCAGCTGCTGGTGAAGACCTTGACATCTCCACACTCCTCACTGACCACAAATCCTCCACTGGGTGCTGGACTGATGTAGCGAGGTCCTTGCAGATTGGACACCAAGTGGACGTTGAGTGTCTTGAAGGCATGGTCCAGAGCAAAGCTGTGGACTTGGCCTTGTGCATAGTCTGCTACCAAGATCCTGCTCATGGAGTCTACTGCAATACCCCTGGGGGAGCCAACCTTTCTGATCTTTATCCATTCCCCCTTGGAGCGGCTGGTGTGAGGGTTGAAGACCCAGATGGCTCCATTCATCATGTCAGCCACAGCCACCCTTCCTGTGCGAGTCACAGTCACATCTTCTGGCAAGAAAGTGCCACTTTCCTTCCCCATTTGTTGGCAAGGCAGGGACTGAAGTGTTTGGCCTGTGCTGCTGAGGACATGGACCCAGGGAGCACTCTCAGCTGTCACGTAGATGGAGCCATCCAAGGAGCAGTGGATTCCACATACTCCCCCATAGCGACTGCCAGTTGGGTTGGGGATCTTCCGAACCAGGTTATCCTGGCAATAGTGGAGGAGGTTCTTAATGTTGTCCAGATCTCCACATAGGCTTTTGGCCTTATCCACCAGCTGGTGGATGTGGTGCTGTGTCACCATGCCCATGCCAATCTGGTTGCTCAGCAGTGGGCTGGCTGCCTGCAGTGTTGTGTTTGACTTTAGCTGCAGGGTATAGATGGTTTTCAGAAGCTTCTCCTTTTGCTGGCTGGTTTCCAGAGTGTTGTCCATGACAAATCCCTTGTCCCTGTTTGGGGGAAGCAGTAGGACCATTATTGTCCTGCCTGCTGCCATCTCTGGGGACATGCTCTGATCTCAGGTCCCTGCTGTCTTCCCAAGGTCAAGATGTTGGTGCTAGGCTGGATTCGCTCTGATGCGACAGAGACCAGATCCTAGCCATAATAGCTAATGACGTGCTCAGGATATAAAGACAAATAGGGACCATGGCACAAAACTGACAAAGAGCCAGCAAGCTGGATCTGCAGCTGGAAGAACCAGCCAAAAAGGTCCATTGGCTTCAAGGACAGCTTGGCTGGTGCTAGATCTGGCTAGAGAATTTATGTGTAAAGGAAAGCCCTGTGTGAGCACACTGAATGGGATCCCTGCCTCTCCAGTTCCTGAGATTAGTGGCTTCTCTCAGGTCTTTTAACTTCTTAACCCTGTAAGACTTATCTCTCCAAACCATGTTCTGTCCATGCTAACAATAGACAATGAGGATGTCTCCACCCTGCGTGGGTCAGGTGTGACGCTGTCCTGGGTTCAGCAGCAGCAGTCATTTTTCTCCTTCTTGGTAGCTAGTGCAGCACTGTGTTTTGACTTTCAGCCTGGGAACAGAGCTGATAACAATGGTGTTTTAGTCTGACCAAGGACTTTCTGAGCCTCATGCTCTGCCAGGGAGGAGGGGAAGCTGGGAAGAAGCAGAGACAGGACACCTGACCCCAACTGACCAAAGAGGTATTCCATACCACAGCACGTCATGCCCAGGATGTAACGGAAAGTTAGCTGGAAGGGCTGGGACTGCAGGGTTGGAGGAGGTATCGGTCGGTGCTTGATCGGGCTGGGGGCATGAGTTATCAGTCGGCTGGTGGTGAGGTGTTGTGTTCTCTTCCCTTGTTATTTCCTTTATCATTGTTATTACTGGTGGCAGCAGTAGTGATTTGTGTTATACCTTAGTTACTGGACTGTTCTTGTCTCAACCCGTGGGAGTTGCATTCCTTTCGATTCTGCTCTCTGTCCCTCCAGGAGTAGGGGAAGGGAAAGAAGGGGGGGAGTGAGTGAACGAGCTGCCTGAGTGGTTTTAAACCACGCCACTTGCCCAGCACGTGCCTTTGTAAGGGCAGTCCCTCCCCATCCAAATAAGCTTATTCCTGAGAAAGCTAACAACCTGTCAGGAAGAAGAAGGGAGGTGCTGCTCTGAAGGACACAGTCAACCTACGCAGTGTTTTCAGACGCGAGAGCCACCATGAGAATCCCAGTTTCTCTTTTGCCCACTCTCCCTCTGTTTTAAAGCCATAAGGAATGTCCTTCAGAATACAGAGATGATAGCCTGGCTCTGCTGTGTGCTTTCCAGGGCTGGCTGGAGGTGGTAAGAGAAATGTTAACAGAAATGTGGCCTCTTTAAAGTTCCTGGAGAGGCAGAAATTACCTTTGTGATTATAATTAATATCACAATGGACACACTTGGCTGTTCTTAGTTTGCCACTGTTCCACCTTTATCATCCTGTGTCCCATGATTGCCTAGTATCATGTGCTCTGCACTGCCTGCAAAAGTAATGGTTCCCAAGCCTCAGCCTAAGGAAGCTAGGCTGAGGCATACTGGGTGCAAATTGTCACCATTGCTAAAAACAATCCTCTGAATACTTGCAGAGCTATCAAACACAAATATGTGATGATGGGGATGAGAGTGACTGAAGAGGAAATCCAATTTCTGCTGCATTCAGGGCCAGGGAACAGCTGTTCCCCCTTCTTCCCCAAAGTGGTTGTGCTCTGTGTCACCAGCAGTGGAGCCCTCCACCACCTCCATGACTGCTGGACAGAGTGCAAAATGCAAGACACTGGATTTTACAGATGAGGAAACTGAGTCACCACAAGGGAGCTAACATGCCAGCCAGAAAGAGTGTCCACCTCCTGCTTCCTGGGTGCAGGGCACACAAAACTGCCCTCAGCCCTGTGATGGTGTGTCCTGAGCTAAACCTGACCCCAAATTCATGGGTCTAAGCCCAGAAAGAGGGCCTTGATGCTCTCCCCAGCACAGCCCAGGCCAATGACCACATGCGTGACCATGAGCCCAGCTCAATAGGTCTGTACCTCTCTGTCCTGATGTCCTGGGTGCTGTCCGTCCTCCCACCAGCTCCGTCCTGCTCCCCACTGGGCTCAGGGCTGAGGGATATTGTGTTGTTAGTGACGGACGATTGCCCTTGAGTCTGGGTAAACACAAAAGCACCTTGTGCTGACAACCAGATGCAGCGAGACAAGGGCTGATCTGTGCAGCTTTTATTCCCTGCTGGTCTCATGCCTAGAAAGAAAGTGCCTTTCCCCCAGTATCAGTCTGTCTCCCACCTTCCTGCTCCTGCCAGAGGGAGGAGAAGCCCCCAGGTGTCCATCTGCAGGGAAAGTTGGGGGTTTTACGTAGAGGCAAAGGGCCTGATTTGCTACACCTCACCCTTAGTGTGAAACACTCCTGGTGTGGGACAGGGATACTCATACCTCGATTCAGGGCTCCTGCCTTGTCTCACTGCTTCTTGGCTGCCTCCCCGTGTGCTGCCAGCCTGGTTGCATGCCTCAGTCTCCCCACTTGCAAAAAGGAGACTGGTGCATTTTGCCATGTGAAGCTTTGAGGGCCAGCAATGGAGAAGCTCTAGAAGAGACAGATCAGCTGGGGCTCCTGGGCACAGCCTTCTCTTCATCTCCACACTGCTAAACCCTGGCTCCCAAGCTGGGAAAGGCCATGTTTGGAGTTGATGGTGGTGTTTATCAGTTCAGCTCAAAGGAAGAGGGTGAGGAGTAAAAGCAAAGTCATCCAGGACCAGTCTGCCTGGGGCTGGTTGGATCCTGCCCTCCCTTCCTGGCAGTGCCTGCTGACAGTGCTCAATCCATCCTTGCTCACAGCAAGCACAAAGCAACACCTTAAACCTGGCCAAGGCGTGAAGAAGTTTGTGTCTGTTCATTACTCAGATGGGCCAAAGGTAAACGAAGTTTGGATCAGACACTGCCCACCTATTGGGGTGCTTGGAGGGGCTGTGTGTGCTTGGCCCTTTGGATGAAGGAAGCGAGTTGGGGTCCGGCTGTCTGCAGGGGTGGGATCTGCCTCGGAAGCCCCAGGGCTGGGTGCTTCTCTCTCGGTGTGTTTAGGGTGCTCCTGGTCCTAGATCAGTGTATCCCCAAAGCTCATAGTGCCTGGGAGGCTGCTCCAGACCCATTACCAGCCAAACTGACAAAATTACCTTGACGTGACAAGCACGGGGCCGCTCCACCCCAGCCCCAGCAGGACGGAGGCAGCTTCAAAAACCATCTCCCAGGGCAACAGGCTCTGACCTTTTGTTTCGCTGTTGTGTGCTCCATCACCAGGATAAATAAACACAGCCTGGCCCTGGGGCTCCCGTTCACCTTTCCAGGACCGTGGCTCTGTCACAACCTGTTTGAAAGCCATCCCCAGTCCTCAGGAAATGCCTGTGTCATGGCATGGCCCAGGCACAGCCCATGCCCACGCCAGCTCCTGGTGCTGCAGGGTTAAAGGATCAGGGAATGGAGGTGAAGTAAGGGGAAAAGCGTTTGGGTCCAGTTCAGGCTTTCCTGGAGCATTTCACTTGTAGGCAGTAGTGGTGAACTTCTCCCCTCATGGCTTTTCCTCCCCTGGCCCAGGGACAGCAGCTCTTGCTTGAGGGTCTACAAGGCCCTGTGTCTCTACTGAGACAGACACAGCACCTGCCTGGCACTGTGCATGTGTGCAGGCAGCCAGTGGGACATCCCGTGGGACATCCCATGGGACAAGGTGATGCCATTGCTACCAAGTCGCAGACTTGTGGGAAACAACCCAGACCCATTCATGGGGAATATTTCCCCATCTAGAGCACACCTTCATGGCTGGAGAGAGGGTCAGGGGGACACAGATGGCCACAGTGGTCAGTGGAGTGTTAGCGGTCATAGTGTGAAACCCTCCTGCAGCTCAGATCCAGGCTGGACTCTGCGGTACTCCAGCGCTCTGGGATGCTGTCAGCATGGGGAGATTTTTCTGAGGGCTCCGATTGTTTGCTGGGAGCAGAGGTGGGTGGCCATGGGGATGAAGCAGGGTGGCAGGTGGGTGTCCAACCACTGGGTGTCCGACTGTTGGGTGTCCAGCTGTGGGGTGTCTGTCTGTCTGGTGTCCGACTGTCGCGTGTCCGTCCGGCTGGCCACGGGCTTGTCATGTCTTTGAGCAGACACCAGGTGGCTCCGTCTGTCCGAACAACGGGGGGATGATTGTCACTAATTACCAAATTGCAACGAACGAACTCTGTGTTTGTGTGTGTCTGTGTGTATCTGTGTATGTATGTGTATGTCTGTGCGTCTGTGGAACAGGAAGCAGTGTCCCAGGACTGTGCGAGCTGTTGGTGGGAAGCCAGAGGATCCACTGCTCAGCCATCCACAGAAACATGGTTTCCAGCCCAAGCTGATCCCTCATCCCTGCTGCACTCCCCCACTGTCCCCAGAGTGCCAGCACTGCCCCCCTGGGGACACACAGGGGCTTGGGGGGACACTGGGGAACAGTGCTTTTGGAGCCTGATCCCCAAGTGCAGGCTGGGACTGGGGCTTCCTAAGCCCAGTTACATGACAGTGAGAGCAGGAATTCAGCTCTTTTTCAGCCATCACAGAAATCCCCTCAGGAAGGAAAGTTTTAACTACTCTTATCCCCAGAACTGCCCTGGCACTGTCTGTTAGGGGGTCATGGGCACCCCAGAACCCCTGCTGCCAGTTAGCTAGCCCATGGAGCTAACCCCAAGGCCAGGCTGGGCAAGGCTTGGAGAAACTTGGAGTGGAAGGTGTCCCTGCCTGTGTCAGGGAGTTGGAGCTGGATGAGCTGTAAGGTTCCTTCCAACCAAAACCAGCCTGAGATTTTATGATTCTATAGAGGTTTTCTAGGGTTTGATAAGGGCTGAGCTGACACGACTTCTTCCTTGCTTGGTTTCTCCTCCACAGCTTCCCACTCCCACAAGGCTCACAAGAGGATTGGGAAGTTAATCCTCTTTGAGACATCAAGCTCCCTGTTGAGCAGGACTGGAAGGTCTAAAAGCTGTGAAGCACAGCAGGGCACTGGCATGGAGCCACTTTCCTGCTTGGAGCATTCCCATGGGTGAGCCTCAGCCAGCCCTGGTGGCAGTGTCCCCATTGCCACCCCTCTCCCCACCCACCCCAGGCACCAGCCTGTCCCCAGGCCCATGGCAGTCATCCCACCAGCTGGCTCCCTCCATCCCACCCTGGCCTGGCTCCTGCAGCCTCTCCACACTGGTTCCAGGGAGGAAAGTGAAGTGTCCACATGTACTGGCACAGGAGAACATCACGAGGCCATATAGCACATGGGAGATGAACAGAAGCTTTCTGCAAACACAGCCTCATGGTGGTGGGGAAGGCTCTGGAGGTCCAAGGGCACGGCTGAACCCCAGCAGGGGGGTATTACCCAGTAATGGGTATTACTGGAGCAGATATTTGTGTGTAAACATTCCCTTATAAACTGTACTGGGCCATTTGATCCTCCAGGAAGGGTTGCTTCAGCTCTTGGTGAGGAATTTTGCAGGCTGCTGTGCTGGTGGGCGCTATTAAGGAAACAGCTGCCTTTTCTGCTCCCCCTTCCCACCCAAACCACAAACTGTTGACATCCTTGGTTACTCCTCACCTGAAATAAGGGAGGAAATAACAGTGGCTCTGGGGGTTTAAGCCTCTGCAGCTCTAGATCTGGGACAATGATGAGGGTGTTTTGGCTTTGCAGCGGCCGCTGCCCAGGATGGGGGAGCCAGGGCTGCCCATCCACCATGCCTGGGTGTGCAGTGTTCCTGGCTCTTCAGGCAGCTTCTGCCTTGCAGGAACATCTCCTCCTTCCCTCCCAACCCTTTACCCCTGCACCGAAGGGTGCAGCAGTGGGGAGCTCCCAGCCTGATGCCTCCCACATTGCCCTGGCACCAGCAAGTGCAGCCCACTTGCACCCACCCCCCAGGAAGGACTCAGCAAACAGCATCCTCAGCCTGTGGTGCCTGAGGGAAACCTCCTCCCAGCTCCGCTTGTCTGCCTTCGGGGAGCATCAACCTGCATGAGAGCCAGAGCTCTGTTCTCACCAGCCCCAGCTCTTTTAAGTACTTAAACCCTCAGTGCTTCCCTCTGTGGGTTTTTGATCCAATTCCAAAGCCAGAATGGTTCTGCCCAGGGCAAATACTCAGGGAAACAATCCATTTGGTTCATCCAAGAGCAGGGAAAGGAAACCTCCAATTGCAATAACAGGTAGGAGGAAAACGCAGCAGAGAAATTGTGTAGGGTTTTTGTACTCTTGTTTTCCTCACTCAAAGCTGAGAAGATGGGATTGCTGCTCCTCCATGCTCGCTCACTCTGGCTGCACACCATGAGGGGATGAAGAATACATGGAGGACACAACACTGCCTGAGTAGCTCTGGAGCTGCCATCCTGTGCACTCCCTGGGATGATGGGGACCCTCTGGGGGCAATTCCCAGTTTGTCTTCCCAGCTCCAGCCTGGTACCTCCGCCTACCCTTGGCTTGCAGTTAAAGAGCGTGCTGCAAAGCCAGTTCATTTCCTCCCTCCTGCCTGAGACAGGGCAACTCTGCTCCAGGTTCTCTTTGCAGCTTCACACGTCTGCTCAGGAATCTCCTGGCTGACCTTGGCCCTTCTTTAGTCCAACTTTGGTAAGTTTCCACTGCTGCCAGCTCTGGCCTACCCACGCTGGGGTAAGAGAAAACTGGTTGTGCTGGGCAGGAACCACTTCTGGTCCCCAGCTGGTTCCACATGGTAGCTCCTTGTTACGAGTGAGTGCCTGGCTCCCTGGCCCTGCCGCAGGTGGCTTGAGGATGCACCAACACATGGATAGGCAAGACACACAGTCAGGGCACATCAGCACTTGCATTCCCCAAGTCATTTAGGACAAGAGGAAACTGCTTCAAGCTGTACCGGGGAGGTTTACAGTGGATATCAGGGACAATTCCTTCATCAAAAGGCTTGTCAGGTTTTGGACAGGCTGCTGAGGGCAGTGGTGGAGTCACCAACCCTGTAAGTGTTCACAAACCGTGTAGATGAGGCCCTCAGTGACATGGTTTAGTGGTGGCCTTGGAAGTCCTGGGGAACAGTTGGACTTGATGAGCTTATAGGTATTTTCCA